TGAACACACTGGCCTTCATGTCTGCAGGCTGGGGAAGCGTGTGGCTGTTGGGGAACTGTGCTCTGTAATAGCTTCACCTGGGAATATGTGGCCAAACAACCTGTGCTCTAACCCCTTCCAGTGCCCTGAGGTACCACAAACTTTGCAGCAAGGAAAGGCATCAGCTGAGGGGGCTGTGGCTGCTGCCAAACACTAGCAATGACTGATAGTAAAGGCACAGCAGACACCAGGCTTTGCTGTTCAAGAACAAGGGCTTATTTAAAGAAGGGGAAAAAAACCCCAAACCAAACATCTACAAGCCGACCCTGTTCTTGTGCTTTTTAAGCCTGAGTCGAAGTTTTATTAAAGATTTCCATTCAGCAGAACCCTCTAATAAATCTTACTGGTTAACAGTCAGAGGAGGAGGAAGAAAATGTTTTTCTGGTGTCTGTTGGGAATTGCAGGTACTAAATTAGCTGCTCTGGAATTATTGCTGGCACCATCTCGCCGCCGCGGCTGCCCCGTGGAGCTCTGTGCAGCACAGGCCTGTGCACACACTGCCTGCATCCCAAGCAAGCAGGGCATGGAATTTTTAATCATCCACAGAAGCAGATTCCGTGTTCTTCTTGCTTGTGGAAAAAGCAAGCCTTGAAGGGCATTGTGGGGAGGGAGAGGACCTGCCTGCAAAGGGAGGACTCTCCAGCACTTGGAGGGGAGGGATGTCTTTGCAAGTCTTTCTGGAGGGAGGTGTCCAGCTGGGCAGAGCAAGGTGTGTGTGATCATTATGGCTCCTCAACCCTGTCGGCTGCTGCCACCGCCTCCAAAGATCCAGAAAGTGAACAGGGGCTGCCAAACTGAGACAGGGTCTGCGTGGCAAACAGGACATGCTTGCTTAATGTTTGGGAAATGTCAGATAGTTCCCTCAGCCTCACATGTCAGTGGAATACATTCAAGACTGGTGTGTGAACTCACAGTGAATTTTAAAATGCTTCACGTCTGTTACAGCTCTTTGCCCATTTGGCACCATCCCTCAAAGGGTTAACTCTAGGTCAACATGAATTCTTACTAACTTCCATCAGGCCAGGCTTAATCTGAAAACGATGCTCAATTTGCTCTTCTGTTGATTGTGAGATAGAGACTTGAACCATGTGTGTTTCATTTTTCATTAAAAGTAATTTAACTTGATATTAAAACCATTTGAATGGACCTTTAATTTTTCATACACAGAGACAGCCACACACATCTCTCTTCCCTGTGCTCGAAGCCATCATGCTCCCTGGTCACTAATGTAGAAACAGTGCAGATAAAAATAAAAGTCATGTGGTCAAGATTTTTCCCAGCAAATTCGGTATCGAGTGATTCCTGGTGAGAGGAGATCAATAGTGTGCAGTTAATTTTTAAGTTGTTTATGTTGCTGCTTTTAAACCATGTTTTTTGTGATCCATGCTAATGAGTGGAATGAGGAATTTATAGATTCATAGACTAAGGTCAGAAGGGAGCTCTGTGCTTAATCTGAGCCTTTGTATAGGCAGGCCATGGACTTCTCCCCAGGCAGCATCTCTCTTGGAAATGTATCTAATCTCCTCCTAAAAACAATGAGTGCTGGTGAGTTCTCCCCCTCCCTTGCTGGTTCTCTGTTTAATTACCCTTGCTGCTGGGGAAGTGCCTCACTTCAAGGCTGAGATGTGGAACTTGACTTCCTAGCCCTCGTAACCTGCTTCTCCTTTGTTTGCGAGACTGAAAGCTTTTCCACTTCCTCCCAGGGATCGAGTCACCTCTTAGCCTTTCTTTGATAAACTTAAATCTCCTGTCAAAGATTTGATTTGCAACCCGGGGTCATTTTTGCAGCTTCCCTTTGAATTCCTGC